GAGAAAAATGGCATCTTTTAATTCTTAGCCAAGTAACACATGCTTCTTTTAGAAAACAGAGTGAATGAAATACAGTAAAACTATTTGTAATTCATCTTTCAGAGAGAGTGAACTAATTGTTTTAATTTTGTTTATGATTAGAATGGTTGAACATTTACATTTGTTAGCCATTTAATTTGCTCTTACGAGATACATCCTTTATCTTTATATTTATTGGATTTTGGATTCTTTATTTTATTTTTTAAAGATTTTATTTATTTATTTGACAGAGAGAGAGGGAACACAAGCAGGGGGAGTGGGAGAGGGAGAAGCAGGCTTCCTGCTGAGCAGGGAGCCCGATGCAGGGCTCGATGCCAGGACCCTAAGATCATGACCCAAGTTGAAGGCAGACGCTTAATGACTGAGCCACCCAGGCGCCCCTGGATTCTTTTTTTAATATTTAGGATATTAGTCCTTTGCTTTTTACTTTAAACTTCTGCCTAATATAACCTTTCCCCTCAGATGATTGTTTTTGATATTTTTGATACACAGATGTTTAAAATTTTTATATTGTAGAGGCGCCTGGGTGGCTTAGTCAGCTGAGCTTCCAACTCTTGATTTTGGCTTAGGTCATGATCTCAGGGTTGTGAGATTGAGCCCCGCGTGGGGCTCTGCACTGGGTGTGGAGCCTGCTTAAGATTCTCTCTTTCTCCCTCTGCCCCTCCCCTCCCCTATCTCTTTAAAAATTTTTTTATATTGTAAATTTGTTGATATTTTCCATTTGTGATTTATTGTTATTGTTTTCACATTTGGAATGATGAGATAAATAGTAATCTATGTAGTTTTGCCAACTTTTTAATATTTTTTAAAAAATTTAATTCTTTGATTCACATGGTGTTTGTTTTGTAGTATAGTATAAAGGGAAATCTTCCCTGACCTTCTTTTAATATAGCTAACCAGTGTTTATGTAGTTAGATGAAGAGAGACTGACTATTCCATGTGATGGTACTCAACTATAGCGTATTCTGGAGAACAGAGAGTCGTAAGTAGATTACCCACCTTGCTGAAAGTAGGGCATATGAAGGAGAATTTAAGATTGGAAAGATGGTTTAAAGTGTAAATGGAGAATGCCTTTAATTCCAGGTTAAAAAATTAAAATTTGTAGGCAGTGAGAATTTTGAGTGGCTGAATGTGCTTGAAATGAACTTTTAGTTACTAGGACCAACTCAAACTGATCTAACTTAAGCAAAGAAAATTTTTTTAGGAAGAAATTTTATTGGCTTGTGTAATTGAAAAATCAAGAGGTAGTATTAGCTTCAAATATAAGTTGATCCAAGTATGTCATTGGGTGGCTTCTCTGTCTCAACCTTGCTCTCTTCTATACCGGCCTTTTTAAAGGTTCTTAGAGATGGTCCTTCACGTCTCCAGTTTTAAATCCTTTTAGATCCAAGTTGGAAGCAAAGAATGCCTCTTCCATGAAATTCCCTACAAATCCAGACATTTTCCTGACTGGACTCATTGGTTCACTTTGGCCACAGGGAAAGTGTGATGATGATTGGCCAGAGGGGGTCCTCAGCCTTCTCCAAATGAATTAATGTTGGTGAGGGAATTTAGGTGCTCTTGTTGGCCAGGCCTGGGTCATGTGCTCTTCTCCTGGAGTCAGGAATGGAACCTCACTGAGGCCATACAGTCTGGATGTTGGGGAGCAGTGATTTCCCAAAGCAGTACAGCCTACTGGAGGAATAGTAGGTGTATTAGTCAGCTTAGGCTAGGTTATGCTGCAGTGACCAGCAATACCGAAGTCTCTGTGGCTTACTGTAGACAGCTGTAACCAAATTCTCATTCACGCAAAGTCTACTGGGGCCTCGGGCCTTCCATGTTGCCGTCCATGTTCTAGCCCAGGGTGGCTGTGTTGGGACCAGGCTCTCGTCAAAGTTTTGGCCAGAGTAACAGGGCTGTCTCTCCATTTCTCTGCACTAACTGTATAGTCTTGCTGTCATCATCTGTTAGGTACAAAAGGAATTCATTTTCTAAATTGGTACTCACTCTTGTTTCTGCTTGGGGAGAAAGTACATAACTGATTAGTCAAGGGCCTTCTTCCATTTATACTTTAGAGTCTACAGTTTAGACAGTCTTTTTGTGAGTGTTTGGTATTCTTTCCTTTTGCCTTGTAATTATTCGTGTTTGTTCTCAGTGCTTTTTTGAAGTGGTTTTATGGAGATTGAAATCCCTTTTAAGCTTCCCGTGTTCCTCATGTTTATTTTGAGTGATGATACATGAAACATCCCAGCTTTTCGGTGGTGATGTTCATGTGATTAATACACCTTGGGCTTTCACCCCAGCAGGAGATTCCCGGGCAGCCATTGGAGATGTGCTGTTAGCAATTTTCCATCATAGCAGTGTTCCTTGAGGATTTCACATACTCTTCTCAGGGTGTGGAAAGGGAGGAGACTATTGCCAACACTATTCCTAAACATAAACTTCTAATTTCAACAGGCTGTTAGAACTTCCAATGAAAAGATCGTTTGTGAAAGCAGAGCTGTTGGTCACTCTGTAAGCAATCCTGCTTCCCTTACTTCATCTGGAGGAGGATGCCGTGTGGTCATATTCAGAAAATAGCATCCTCCTCAGGGGCCCATTGATTATGTAAGGCCAGGAGACCTGTGGTGGCAGATGCCAAATGGCTTGGAGCTACTAGCCTCTCCCTTCCCTAGGACTAGTCTGGTGAACTGTCTGCCTTCAAGTTTTTTAAAATGCTACTGGCTTGTCCTCCGATGTCTTATTTGCAAAAGAAAAAGAAAGCCAAAGTAATCATCTCATTGATGTTGACAAAAGAGAACTAATGAAATGGAATTGTTGGTGCATCTTAACTGGATTTTCAGCAGGCTCAGCCCTGTCTAGGTTGTGTGGGGGGAGGGTAGAGAAATACCTGCATGCATTTATAAAGTCATTCATTTAGTCATACATTTGCCTTTGTTGGCCTTGACGTTGTGTGTGGGGACGGAAAGGCTTAGTTTCAAGTTAGTCTAATATAGCAAGTTACCTGGTGACCATGAATAGGCTTCAGGGAGTCAGCCTCCCTGAAATTGTCTGCAAAATCTGGAAGGGAATTTTTCTGGGGAGAGGATTCTGTAGCTTCCGTTAGGTTCTCAAAGGGATGTAAGCCTTAAAGCTGCAAGGAGCCTTCTCAAATGCTCAGAACCCCTTGTTGTGGCTGGCATAGCTCCTGATTGGAGCTGTCACCCTGAGAAAGCAGTACCTCTTGAGTATTTCACGTGGCCCCTTAGAATGGAAGTGGGTAACGTGGGCCATTCCTAGCCAGAAAGAAGTGAGCAGAGGGAAGGGGGAAGCAGTGTAGGCTCTCTGGTGAGCACAGAAATGATGAAGGATCGACTTCATTTTACTGAGGGTAAAATGCACCCTTCTCAAATGCTTGTTGAATCCCATAATCTTGGAGAAGAGACTTAAGAGCACAGATTCTGGAGCCAGATTTGCCAGGTTTAAGTCTCGGCTCTGCCATTTAGTAGTTGTGTGTACTTCAGCAAATTATGTAATTTCTGTGGTCCCAGATGTCCTCATATCTCAAACTGGGATAATACAGTATTTGCATCATAAGACTGCTGTAAGGATTAAATGAGATAATACAAAGTGCTATGATAGCATGTAGCACGTGGTAGGTGCTTAATAAATATTAGCTCTGATAGTGGAGCCCAGAGGTTGTCCTTAGTCATGTAAAGAGTAGTCAGAAATTCAGATATGGACATATTTTGTACCTGTCTCCCAAAAAGTCACCTGCTTTTAGCTTTTGCACTTATGAGCTGTTTCAGGTAAATTCACAAACATCATAAAAGATGAAAGAATACAGTCACATAGCCTTTTAGTAAAATACAGTGGTCAGTGTTCTTGTCACAAAACGTTGCATGGTGAGGTTCCCGCCGTGAGGACTAACTGAATGTGAATATCGTATTTCCTTTTTGTCTTTGGAAATACGCTATACAGTCTTTAATCCTGATTTCATCGAGGATGTGGTGGCTGGAGACCCACAGTTCATCTAAGCCTCGTTAGGCTCCAGGGGGCTCTGTCTGTCCTTTGCATTCATCTTCTGGTTCTTCAACTAACTGGGAAATGTCTCCCTCTGTAGTTTTATTCTTTTTGTCATTATGTGTGGAAAATGAAAAATTGTGAACTCTTCACTGTATTCCACGAAGGAAAAAAAAAAGACTGCGAAGATGGTGTCTTCAGACTTCTTTTATACCTTCCCGAAAATGCTGTGATACGTTGGGCAGCGCACTGAGGAGACGGAAGGATGATGTAGGGCTGACTTCACTCCTGCCCCTGTCTGTGGGGATAGGAAAATACAGTCATGATAGAATGCTAAATGCAGAGAGGACTCGGAGCCATGTGTACACTGCGAGTCCAGCTGTGTAAAACGCATACATAAACAATATTGCAGCCGGGACGTTAATGGTTTTTTTCTGGGTGAGGCAATGTTGTGTGATACTTAAATGTAATTATCTATATGTTTCTCAGTTTCTGAAATCTGTAACTAGCATGTATTATTTTTTAATCATTTTGTGATAATTGAAGCAAAGATTTTTTTTTAGTAAGTTTTATTGAGGTACTATTTACATACTGTACGATTCACCCACTTAAGGTCTTCCCATGCGGTGCCTTTTAGTAGATTCACAACAGCCATTCAGCCAGCACTCATCATCAGTTTGAGAACGTTGTCATCACCCCAAAGGGGAGATTCTATATGCATTTAGCCATCTCTCTGTTTGTCCCCACACCCTCCAGCCCCTGGCAACCACTCATCTGCCTTCTGCCTCTATGGATTTGTCTATTCTGGACATTTCAGACGAATGGCCTCATACCACGTGCAGGCCTTTGCGGCTGGCTTCTCTCACTCAGCGTAAGGTTGTCAAGGCAAAGCTAATCATGCTTGCACTCTGGTGACTCCTAGCAATCATACTAACCCTTATTTATCACAGGGTAAAATATATTTTTTTCTTTACTTCTAGACTTGGTTCCTTCAATTATGAACAACTTGTTGAATCCAGATGCCATTTTCTCAAACAATGAGATGAGCCTGTCGGACATTGAAATCTATGGCTTCGATTATGATTATACCTTGGTGTTTTATTCAAAGCACCTCCACACGCTGATATTTAATGCTGCTCGGGACCTTCTCATCAATGAACACCGGGTAAGAACACAGGGACACTGCAGTCTCCCTCCTCCTTCCCTTAGACGTTGAAGAACAGCGTTGAGTGGACCTGGCCTTGTGCCTGGCACACAGACGTCACTTAGTAAAGTGTTGTTAAATGAACGGGTAGATTTTGTTCCATTCCAGATGACTCTATCTGGAAGATTTTTTTTTTTAACTACTTTTTTTTTTGAGGTATGGTTGACATACAAAAAGCTATACATACTTAATGGATATAACTTGATGAGTTTGGGGTTAAGTGGATACCCGTGAAACCATCACCACCATCAAGGTCATGAACTGTCACCTCCCAGAGTTTCCTCCTGCCCCCTTCATTGTTATTGTTATTTGTGTGTGTGTGTGCGGTAAGAACACTCAGCAGATTTTTGGTAATACAGTATTGTTGCTGTAGGTACTGTGCTGTATAATAGAGCTCCAGAACTTGCTTCTCTCACAGAACTGGAACTTTGTACTGGAAGATAGTTGTTTTTTTTTTTTTTTAAGAGTTTATTTGAGAGAGAGCGAGCGAGTGAGCATAAGCAGGGGCGAGTGGCAGAGGGAGACGGGGAAGCAGACTGTTGGGGCTCGATCCCAGGACCCCGAGATCATGACCTGAGCCAAAGGCAGATGCTTAACTGACTGAGCCACCCAGGCGTCCCTGGAAGACAGTTGTTTTTTTAAAAAAATCTTTAGATGTCTCTTTGACAAAAGACTCTCAAGTTATGTGTTAGTGGAGATGGGGCCACAGACTTCATGCTGTCCTTTCTCAACGAGCAGTGACTCAGTTTCTCCCAGAGCTGATGAACTTGGCAGCCTGTTGAGTTCTGGTTAGAAGAAATTCTTCAAAGGATAGGCAGTGTTTCACCTTCATCCCTGACTTGAGTTGTTCTTATGTAAAGAACATTTGAATGTCTTCTGATGCATAGTATTGTTGAGGGCTTATAGTAAGGAAGGAAAAAAGAAACACGCAGAACCCAACCCAACATGCTTTCCCATAGAAGTTTGAATTCACGTTTCAGGAGCCAGGATGAGAAGCATCCTCAGAGGTCACCTGGACTAATGCCCTTTGAGAACCCTGCCGCATCCTGGGAAGTGCAGCTTGATTGTCTATCTCAGACAGAGTGCATTTACTGCAGGAGGCACTCCTGAGCGGGGGTAGAACTGTTCTGCCCTCCTACAGCTTTCACCATCAATCTCTTCTCTTGTCATTTCTTTCTGCACACATTCCTTCAGCCTCTCCTAAGTCCCCCGTCCATGCCAGGCCCTGTCGTAGAAGCCGGGAGCATGAGGATGAGCAGAGGAATTATGTGGCCACCTGCCGGAGGCCTCTCCACACATCTGAATGAAAAGCTAGGGATGTGTGGAGGCTGCTTGGAACAACTTTCCCCGCCTGAGGGAATTGGGAAAACAACAAAGAAGGTGATAGTTCAGCAGAGTCTGGAAGGAGTTTGTCTGCAAAGTTGTGCTGGGGGTGGGCAGGCTGGTGGGTCTGGGAGAACTAATGTTTTATCCCTGACTTATCCACTAGAATAATGTTTTATACTACTGGGCTACGTGTCATGTAGTCCCGCCTTTATGCTGTCCAAGATGTCTCTTCTCCCAGGCCGATCATTCGTAGTTTTTCAGCCATTCTCATTTTGCCTCCTTTCTGGTCTTTCATCATCTTAGTTACCCTTCTTCGTGTGTGCGCTCTGGTTTATCCCTCTCATATATGAGGCCCTGAACTGAAGATGTTACTACAGGTGGGGTCTGACTAGTGTGGAATAGAGGGAGATCATCACCTCCCTGGTTCTGGGTACCATACCTTTATTAATGCTACCGAAGTTTCCATTAGTTTTGGATCCTCACCATTTGATGAAATATATTTCCTGATTCCCCTCAGCTTTTGGTTATCGGTGGATTTAATAAGAAACTCAGTTTCTCCTCATTCAAAATGCAGAAATGGCATTTGCCAAAAATAACCTTCCCTTCTGCCACTAAGCCAGCAGCCAGCTTTCTTTAGTTATGGCCACTTTACCACACATAAACCCATCTAGCCGCTTGGCATCCAGCTGCACTTCTCCATTTGTTCAAAAGACTCTCTTCTCTTCTGTCTAACCCACAGACTTCTCCCTTGACTGTGGCAGTGAAAACAGAATAAGACTGAGGCGGTCCCGCCCTTGCTGACCTGTCAGCCAGCCTGCACCATCTCTCCACCACCCCGCCGGGAGATGGACCTGAAGGAGTGTTGCACTGGTGCTGGCGTTCTAGTCCTCGGTCATCTGTGGCATTTGCTGTGACTTTGATTTATCACTTATAAAATGAGGGTCATTTATTAATAGCCCCATCTGTTGATTTTCTGCTAAGTGCTGGAAACACAGGTTCCAGAGCCTGGCTGCTGGTGTTCAAATCCTGACTTTCAACACTAACTTCTCAGGGAATCTTGAGAAACTCACCTCATTTCTCTGAGCCTCAGTTTCCTCCTCTGCGAAATGGGCACAATAACTGGACTTTGCTCACAATGGCATTGTCATAATTAAATGAGTTTATATATATATATAAAGTGCCTGGCAGGTAGAAAACACTTACTAAATGTTAGCTATGACTAGCATTGTTTCTCAGATGCATGACGACCCTGCAAATAGCCTCTGTTTTACAGGTGAGGACACTGAGGCTAATGGAAATGAGCCAGTAGCTCAAAGCCGTGAGATCAGTAGGAGGCAGAACCAGGATTTGAACTTAAATCTGTTTCCAAGGCATAAATGTTCTCTCCTTTATGCCTTGTTGTCTGCTGTGGGATTGATAACACCTTTCATTTCCACCCTTTTGTTCATAGGGAAGTAAAATATTCATGAAGGTAAAAAATCTATGAAGATAAAAAAATGTATGAAATTTGGGGGAAAAGAGAGATGACATAGGTGGGGAAAAGAAGGTGCAATCATTATCATTAGAAAAGCTTCTGGATTTAAGATCACTGAAATTTCAGTCCCATTATGTCTGTTTGTTGCTTTGATAAAAGAGATCAGTCATAACACTAATTATATCAGGCATATTAATAGAGTCAATTATGCTCACGCAAATCTTTCTCTTGCTCTGATGAAACAAAATAATTCTTCCAAGATGCATTTAATTTGGTGCCATTTTTCCTGCCAAAGACTAAATGTACTTGTAGAGATGAGAAGACATCTGCTTTTGCGATGCACAGTAATGGAACAGTAAGTTTGCAATTTCGCAGCTTCCCCAAAAGCAAATGTAAAAGTTCTAGCCCCTTCTTAATTACGCTTTTTTTCTTTCTTTTTTTAGAAAAACAAGTTTTTACAAAAATAGAACAAAATATAGGGTCATGATTGTATCTGCATTTCCCTTTCATGGGTCCACCAAGGAACAGAAAGGGAGTGTTAAAAGAGTTCTCAGTTTCCCTCCCTAGATCCATGCCCTCATCATTCCCTGGCATGGACATTCACCCATTTTCCAAATCCAGAGCCCAACATCAGCCGTGACCCCTCCCATTCTCCTGTATGCCATGTCTGATCTGTCAGCAAACACTATGGGTTCTCGCTCTCTCTTCCTCTTTTAAATATAAACTAGAGAGTTTATTAAGTTTTGGAGAATTGTAGGCTTATAGACAAGTTGCGGAGTTAATACAGAGAATTTCTGTACCTGTATCCCATGCCTCATTTTCCCTCTGGTTCCCAGTTTACGTTGCTGTGGTCCCTTTATCACAACACAAGAACTACATTGATCCATCTTTATTAACTAAGGTCCGTACTGGATTCAGATTCCCTTAGTTTTTACCTGATGTTCTTTTCCTGGTCCAGGGTCCCGTCCAGGACACTGTATTACATTTAGTTGTTATGTCTCCTTAGGCTCGCTTTGGCAGTTTCTCACAATTCCCTAGTTTGTGATGACCTTGACACTTGTGAGGAGTACCAGTCAGGTATTTGTTAGGGCGCCCTCTCTTGGGATTTGTCTGACATTTTTCCTGTGATTAGACTGGGGGTTCTGGGTGAAGTTCTTACCACGTCATGTCAAGGGTACATATTGTCTACGTGACTTACCGCTGATGACGTTGGCCTTGATCGTGTGGCTGAGCTCTGTATCTAGGGTCTCTGCAGCGTGAAGTTACTCTTCCCCTTTCCATACTCTACTCTTTGGGAGGAGGTCACTGTGCAGCCGTGAGCTCTCTTTTCACTCATTCACAATGTGTCCTAACTCTGTCCCCCTCTTCCCCACTGCCACTGCTCTGGTCCAGGCCAGCATCACCCTCTGACCATGTGGCGCCTGGACCCAAAACCCGCTTGAGCCCTCCTGGCACGCTTGGAATGATAGAGAAGGCCACCTCTGGTGCTCCCAGGCCCCCGCCCGCCCCGCCCTTACTCTGTTGCAGCCACACCAGTGTTCTCGCTGCTTCTTGAATTGCCACACGCTACCGCCTCGGCACCTGCATTTCCTCTGCTTGGGAACATTCGTCCCGGCCCCGGGCAGTCTGAGGCCTGGCTCCTCATCTTTTCTGCGTGCCCACCCCAAGATCTCTCAGCCCTTGCACTGCATTTGCCCTGTAGTACTTCTCACCAGGAGGCCTTGTGCTGGGTGTTTGTTTGTGGTCTGCCTCCCCAGGGTAGAGTGTACACTTCTTAGGGGCAGGGACTGCCCATTCTGCTTGCTGCCATATTCCCAGGCCCTGGCACAAAGTACATGGTTAAGTGAGAGTGTTGTGCTTGGTGTGGAATCACCCCTTGGATGCAGGTTGCTTTGTCCTCACTCCACATTTTGTGAAGATTTCAGAGAATTTTGTTTTTATGCCCTTCTGCCCTGCCTCTAATAAGACTCATAATTTAGGCTACTTAAAATATCAGACTGAGATCTCTGAAAAACCTGTATTTCTAGGCATCTGGGACCTCAGGAACTCAGGGGCAGTGTTGTGAGGTAGAGGTTACCAGCTGTCTCGAGATCTCTGTACCTTGCCAGAAAGGGGGCACGCGGGCTAGCCACAGAGCTGTGGGAATGACCCACACACTGGGAGCTCCTGGGTTCTCCGTGGTGTTCTACTGGGAGCTCTGCTTGGAGCTGTGAGGGACATTTCTCTAGCACCTTGCTCTTCGTTCATCCCCCTACACCAGCCTGCTCAGACTGTGCTCAGAATGAGAACAAACCCAGGTACTGAAGGAAACCAGACTGGGCCTAAATAAGATTTTTAATGAAAGTCCCCAGTGCAGGTCTGTTTTCTTTTCATACTTTGTTCTGCTTTTAGAGACACCAGTAATCTTCATGATGCAGTGAGTGAGTCGTGTTTTTCAGACTGGTGGAAAGTTTCTCCACTCTGACGAGTCCAGAAAATCGAGCCATAGACCACTGGAGAGAAGCATAACCTCCTGGCTGATGGAGCAGCCCTGGCTTCCTTGACGGGAGATTACCGTGACGGTTGTTCCCAGAGATGGGTGTCGCGTATGTGCGTGTGTGTGAGCATGTGCGTGTGTGCCTGCTTATGTGTGTGTGTGTGTGCCTGAATGTGTGTGCGTGCTTGTGTGTGTGTGCACGTGTGTGTGCCTGAATGTGTGCGCGCGCTTTGTGTGTGCACGTGCGTGCATGTGCGTGTGTGTGCCTGAATATGTGCGCACGCTTGTGTGTGTGTGTGCCTGAATTTGTGCGTGCTTGTATGTGTCTGCGCGTGTGTGCGCGCGCAAGCATGTGCGTGTGTGCCTGCTTTGTGTGTGTGCACGTGCGTGCATGTGCGTGGGTGTGTGCTTGTGTGTGCCTGCGTGTGTGTGCCTGTGTGTGCGTGCGCCTGCGTGTGCGTGCGCCTGCGTGTGTGTGCACCTGTGTGTGTGTGCACCTGTGTGTGTGCCTGCGTGTGTGCGCGAGCATGTATGCCTGCGTGTGTGTGCACTTGCGTGTGTGTGCGCGCGCCTGCATGTGTATGTGAGCATGTGTGCCTGAGTGTGTGAGCGTGTGTGTGTGTGTTTCTGTGTGTCTCTCTCCATCTGTTTGGAAAGGGGCCCACCATGAGGACAGTTTTGACTTGGTTGGTTGTATGGGGAAACAATTTAGGGGCAGGAGTGGAACATGGAAATCACCCCAGTCCAACCATTTCATTTTCCATAGGAAGGAAGGGGCCTGGAGGGGTTAAGTGACGGGCCTGAAGTCCTCTGGGAGGGTAGCGGAGGCTAGAAGAGTGGGTCTCAAAGCCCAGGCCCCCCCGTTCCATGTCTAGTAAAGCAGCTCTGTGTCATTGCACACTTGCTATGTGCCGGAGACCGCCCCACTGCCCGCATGCATCCTTTTTTTTTTTTTTAATTTTTGAAGATTTTATTTTTAAATAATGGCTACACCCAACTGACAACCCCGAGATCAGGAGTCACAGACTGTACCGACCGAGCCAGCCAGGCACTCCTTGCATGCATCCTTTGACTTATCTTCTCTACTTCCATCTACGGTAGGACTTTTGGCATCCTTACTTTGGAGGTGAGATAACTGACGCTCAGAGAGACAGCGACCTTGCCAAGATCACCCAGCTGGCACATAGTAGGACACCCAGCTAGCACTTAGTAGGACTGGGATTCGATGCCCGGTCCTGCATCCCTGGGGCCTGTTCTTTGTGACGACAGTGTTCCATGAGGCCCTTTCAGCTGCCTCTGTCTGTTCTCCACGTCGGTCGTAATCTCTGGACCCCTTGGAAACACTGTGTGTCTATCAGGAGTGGCTTCCCAAAACCACACAGCTCTGGGGCCCATGGGTGGGTGCACGGCCATGTCTCACTGTGCGGTCTGTGTCCTGTGGGGGAGTCCGGATAGGCCTTGTTCAAAGCAGGAGCTGCCAGACTTTCCAGCAGTGCGAGTTCGGTGTGTATGCTCTCTCTCTCTTATTCACAGCAGCCGGTCCTGCCCTTGTCACCATGGATCCTCCGAGAAACTCACTGGGCCCTCGGAGGCCGCAGGTCCTGCCATCACAGGAGGCGAGGAGTGTCCAGTATGGTGGCTCAGGGTTTGTTCAGAGTGGATTGCAGGGGGTTGGGGTAGACTTGGGTGTGACACGGACCCGGATTCAAGTACTGGCCCAGCCATTGTTTATCTTTGTGAGCTTGGGCAGGTTCCTTGACTCTACTTCTCAGATGATTCAGCAATCCAGGGGACATGAGATGCCCTATCTCCTCCATGAGGAGTACATAGAATAAAGTCCAGAACAGTGTGTAGCCCATGACTCAGTAAAAGCACCCCTCTCAGGAGCATTTAAATATCTTCCCCATGCCCTACCTCTTCCTCCTCACTCCCAAGTTTAGGAGGAGATTCCAGAGGTGTGCGGACCCATGGCCTCACTTCGGGGGTGGGACGGTGGTGCCGTGTGTGGGGTTCTGGGGAGTGTGTGTGAAGTCTGTTCGTAAAAATGCAGAACTGTACACAGTGTTCAGGATTCTTGGAAACGCCCCTGAGTGGAAATAGCATTTGGTGATTTCTTGGCATGTGTGGCAGGTGTTAGATAAATGAGCTCGGATGTGACATTTGAGTCAGCATTCTATGCAGCTTGAACACTTGCTGCATGCCATTCATCCTGTTGGGAGCAGGAAGTATTTCCACACAAACGTGACCCTGGCCATGGAAAGTTAGTGCTGTTGTGCAGAGAGGTTCTGCGCCTCTTGATAGCTGTCTAGGCTTTTTGTTTTTTAAGTGGGGGAGGGGCAGAGGGAGAGGGAGAGAATCTCAAGCAAGCTCCACACCTAGCATGGGGCCCAGTGTGGGGCTTGATCTCACAACCCCGAGATCATGACCTGAGCTGAAACCAAAAGTTGGATGCTTAACCAACTGAGGCGCCCCTAGCTGTCCAGATTTTTACTTAAGCAGTTTACATTGTAACTGAAAGGAAGATCCTGGTGCCACAGCCTCCCTAGACTCAGGAATTTACTCTTCTTTCCTACAGGTCTGTACTCCAAGGGCAGAGGGGAGTGGGGAGAGCAGGGGAAGAGGTCCAGGCCTGATTCCCTGCCCACCACATCGCAGCTGTGTGGCCTGGCCACCCTGTCTCTGTCAGTGCCTCTGGTGCCCCATCTGTAAAATGGGAACGGGAGGGCTTGCGTGCGGTAGCAGCAGACGTGGTGCTTGGTACCTCAGTGCTACCGGCGGGTAGCCGGTGTTCTAATTCTGAGATTTGTGGAGGGAGGGGAGGATGTGGGTGCCTAGTCTAGTAGATATGAACAGGGTTGGGATTTTTGCATAGTTTGAGGAATGGTTTGATAATAGGAACTACCAGGGGAGCCGAGCTGCCTCCAAAAGTCATGCATGTTTTGAGTCAGAGTGCTGGAGCAGTGATTGGCTACCACATGCTGAGAAAGGGCCCTCTTGGCCCAAGTGGGAGGGAGGCCGTACCTGACAACAGGGAGGTCCTTCCACCCGGGACGGGGGCGGTGAGCAGCGGCCGACTGTCTGGATGAGAAAAGCAATGAAAGCTATATGGAGGGCCCCCCCCCCTTTGAAAAGTTTTCAACTTGGTCTCTTCATGAAACCTGGTAGTGGGGCCACACCGGGGGCCGGTATGTTGAGGTGCTCATATCTGAGCTGAATGGATGGTTGATAATGTGTTGGGGAAAGTCACACTTCTAAGAGAGGGGATGCTCCAGTTCCTCTTCATTAGCCGCCTTAAATACAGTAGGAGGAGGCGAAATCTTGGAGGTGGAAGCAGATGTATTTCTGGGCTCCGAGGAGATAAAGGGGTCCAGGGGCAGAGGGAAGGTTGGACGGGGGTAGTGAAGACGAGAGAAGCTGGGGCCAGGGGTGAGGCCTTACCTGTGCTTGGGCAGATGAGCAGGAGTGGGGTGGAGGGAGGGCTCTGTGACCAAGAGGTCCTTGGTCCAGAAACAGAGGGCTAAGCTGTGGTCCATCCTCACCCCATCTTCCCACCAAAGTGTGTCAGCCCCTCAGCTTTTGTACAGGGACCAAATCTGGGCACTATCTGAACTTAGTACATTGTGAGCTAAAAATGCTGCCTTTCTTCTTTCTTAGTATCCGGTGGAAATCAGGAAGTATGAGTATGACCCAAATTTTGCAATTCGTGGACTTCATTATGATGTGCAGCGGGTAGGTTTCATTGTTGTGTTTTTCTACAGTTTAATGGTGTTTGGGAATAATGTACTCTCAGTGCTTTTCTTTGCTGGACACAGAAGTTGATTTTAAATTCTATTTCTTGGGGCTGTGGAACCGAATTATTAAACATCTTTGGATAAAGCCTTTTGCAAAAGACTATTAGAAAAAAATGAATGCATTTAGCTATTTGGAAGATACTCTTTATTTCTAGAAGTCATTTTTGGTGTTTTGAGGAGTCAGTTGTCATATTGTTTTTGCAGATCAGTCATTTCCTTAACAGACTGCACAGTGCTTTTTTTTTTTTTAAGATTTTATTTATTGAGAGAGAGAGCAAGCAAGTGAGAGAGGGAGAAGATGAGCAAGGGGGAGTGGGAGAGGGAGAAGTAGACTCCCCACTGAGCAGGGAGCTTGATATGGGGCTGGATCCCAGGACCTTGAGATCATGACCTGAGCCAAAGGCATATGCTTAACCGACTGAGCCCCCCAGGTGCCCCCACAGTGCTTTAATCAACAGGCAGACCTGTTGGGCACCTGCAGTGTGCTTGTTTGCCACCTCACTGGTGCTGATAGGGTTTGTAATGATACCTGAAATTCTCATTAGATATGCAGCTTGCACATGTGCATTATTCACCTGTGTGTGTGTGTATGTGTTTATGTTTTTGAAGGCAGTATTGATGAAGATTGATGCTTTTCATTACATCCAGTTGGGAACCGTCTACAGGTAAGACTAAGAGGAGGTAAATTTAATTCACTCATAGGAACGAAGTGGCTTTGGATGACAGACCTAAGACCCATTGACTGCTTAGTTATGAAGAGAGTTGTAGTGTGTGTATTTGTGATTTATTCACTCATTCATTCAAGAACATTTACTGGGGCCTGTTATGCCAGACCCGAAGGGTTTGGCTTACACGGATGCCCCAAGGAGCTTGGAGTGTAGGTTGGCAGCCATATAAGTTAACCAGACTGCAGTCCATAGGGACCAAGGTGATGATGGTGTCTAGACCACTGGGGGGTGCTCTGGGGAGGCTCTAGGGGAGGACGGGCTCTCTAGAGGGGCCCGTCTGCCGCTGGGTGAGGGTCCTGGAGCCAAGGTTTTGGGTGGGGAGGGAGGCTGGGGTGAGGCAGCCGGTTCTTGTTCCCACCATGGCAGTTGAGTAGTTTGGATACTAAGACCCCCCTCCTGTTTATTAGAATTAGTAGAAGCACTCAGCTCAGTCCAAAATCTTTGTCACTTTGAAAATGAAGGATTTTGCCTTTTCTAATTCTTGAATTTGGGGGAGGATTTAGGAGTATGGTCATTATACCTTAAAAAAAGAGATGTGCCTATCTTAGGTTCTTCTTTCACAAACTCTTTATTAAAATTAATGTTTTTTTATCCAAGTTAAACATGCACGCAGTTCCGATCAGATAGTGCCGAGAGCGTGGTGGCGGACTGCAGTAGCCCCTGTCCTCCGCACCCACGCCCTTTACGCTCTTCATTGTTTTTCTTCCTATTTTTCTTTTCTTTCTTTTTTTGTTTTTCTAAAGATTTCTTATTTATTTATTTGACAGAGAGATAGAGAGCACAAGTAGGCAGAGCGGCGGGCAGTGAAGCAGGGAGCCCGACGCGGGGCTCGATCCCAGGACCCTGGGATCGTGACCTGAGCCGAAGGCAGCCGCTTAACCGACTGAGCCCCCCAGGCGCCCCTTTTCTTTCTATTTCTAAATAATGTGCTCATCCTTCTGTTTCCTAATTTATTACTTTTGGGTGTTGTTTCTGCCACGGGACAGGACTTGGTGCACGCGCAAGCCCCTGCTTCTCCGGGCTCGTTCTTCGAGCCTCGTGCGGATCTGTGTCTGCATGTTTCTCCATCCTCAGTCGTTGTTTGCATCCTGACTCTGCAAGTTTTGTTGCCTCTTTACGCCATGTCGTGCACTGTGACTGCTTTCTTCTGTGTACTGTGCTTGCTTTTTCTTAGATTTAATAATATCACTTTTTGTCTGCTTTGTTTTCTGTAGAGGTGTCCCTAGTTTTTTCTAAATCCTCCATCACCAGTATCATCCATGTGTTTATTTCCCAACAATTCAAATGTTTTAGATACTCTATCAGTTATTTTTGTGTTTAATTGACTACACCTTCTGCTCTGACCTCTGATGGCTCATCCTGGGGCTTGGGTTTGCCTCTCTCTCTGTTCCCTGATGCCCATCTTTTCCTCTCTTTGGCTTTACTCCCTCGTTCTGCTTTAGCATATCCTCCAGGAGCTCTCTGGTGCCTCTCAGGGCTGAGCCTTCCTGGGGGGCTGTGGCCACTAATCAGTTCTTCGTGTTGGTGTCCCCATGCAGGCCCCTATTCTCAGCTTGCTAAGCCAGGAGCCTCCTTTTCATCTGCTATTTGTCTTCCACGAACATGTTGAAATGTCTTGTCTACTGATGTCTTTGCTCTCATATCCTTTCACTTTTTGAGTAGTTTGTTTTTTTTTTTTTTTTTTTTTTAGAGAGAGAGAGAGAATGTGCGTGTGCAAGTGGGGTGAGGAGTGGCAGAGGGAGAGGGGGAGAGAGAATCCCAAGCAGGCTCCACACCCAGCACGGAACCCAACGAGGGTCTGAGTCTCATGACCCTGAGATCATGACCTGAGCTGAAGTCAAGAGTCAGGTGCTTAACTGACTGAGCCCTCTAGGTGCCGCTGAGTAGTTTATTTTTTTTGCTATCATTTTAATGGTGTTTCAGGAGGGAGAAGAGATGCTGGTGTTGATGAAAATAATAGTAGTAATAATAAATAGCAACGAGCAAATACAAAGTCTTGCTACAGCACAGACACTGTCATAAAGGTTTTATTTGGGTTAACTTATTTGATCCTTGAAATAACCTTATGAGGTAGGTACTGGTATTAGTCCCAAAGATGTTAAGTGACTTGTCCAAGGCCACAGAGAAGTGGAATTCAGACCCTGGTCACCTGGCTCTGAGCCTGTGCCTTTGACCTATATGCAGCATGGTTTTTGTGAACGGATTAGGTTAATGAAATCCTTCACCAGAACTTTCGGATCTGTCCCTCCATCTCTGTTCCTGCTGTCAGCTCCCTGGCTCAGAAACTTAATCCTTTTCTCTTGGGGTCTTGTAGTTTTCTGCAGTGTGGTCTGTCCTGGACATTGTTGCTGGACTGATTCATCTAAAGCATTGCCCTCAACAGACTCTCTCTTCTGAGATCCTGGCTAGCCCCCACTGCCTGGAAAATGGAGCCCAAACCTCGTAGGTTTCCCACCAGCCTTCTCTAAACCCCTATCCTACTCTTCTTCCACACACAGCTCTTTCACCTCCTGATTAGTTAGGACTCTTGGTTACAAGGGACTGAACCCCGACTCAGACTGGGTTAACGAGAAACACAGCATTAGCTCACCTGTTGTGCAGTCCAAGGGACAGTGCCAGGTATGGGCGTGGCTGGCTCCAGGGGCCAAATTGATGTTGTCAGAACTCTTTCCATCTGTTGGCTCTCTCCCTCTGGGTTTGCTCCAGGCAGGTCCTTCCACATGGAGACCCCTGGTGACACCCCCGGCCCCGGGTCAACAGGAGCAAGGGACGGTCTCTTCCTAGCAGTTACAGCCAGTCGCGGCGTGCATGAGGCAGGTGCACAGAGCACATGTATTCCTCTCCTCCGAGGTCTCCTTTCCGGCTGCTCACCATCTGCTCATGCTGGTGTTCTCCCCGGGTGCCGTTTTCCTTCCTCGCTGCTTCTTGAAATCTCATCCATCCTTCCTTCAAGGCTGACTGGTGCCGAGGCCTCACCCCCCCAGCCCCCCTCAGCCCGACATGGTCTTTCCCTCCTCTTCTCAGACCACATAGTCCTACAGCTCCTAATTGTCTTGTTTCTTCTTCTGTAGGTCAGTTGTCCACCATGTTAGGGAGTTATGGACAGGGCTAGGCGGGAGAAGCCAGCCGAGGCATTTGAAAGAGAAGGAGTGTCGGGTTTAGGTCCTGGGAAGGTCGCTGTGGCCGCAGCGCCGAGGGATGTGGTGGGCTGAGGCAGCATGGGTGCGTGTGTGGGCTCTGGAGTCGCACTTCCTCAGCGTGGACCCTGCCTCACTGCTTTCACGTGTGAGGCCTTGAGCAACTCCTTGACCATCTCAAAGCCTTGGTTTGCTCCTCTGTAGAATTGGCATGATTCCCCTGGCTGCCCCGCGGGTGGCTTGTCAGGTAGACCAGAGTGTGCCCGGGGCAGTCAAGGCACGCAGAATGTCACTGCTCTTGCCTTTCCCTGAAAAGAGGAAAGTTCTTGGCAGGGCAGAATGCTCCCTCCTCAGCCTTGCCCATTTCTGAGACCTGCCGTGGGTCCCCAGCTCCGATATCAGGTTGAGTTTTGTGTTGTGCGCTGTGGGAGCGAATGCCACAGGCCAGAGGGGGAGCCAGACTGGCTCTCACTGCAGTCCCACTTGGTACCCACGATTTAAGTTCTGGCTAGGGACCTGGTGAAAAGCTGCGCTTGTTCTCATCACAGGTACACCAGCAAAGCTCTGTTAGCGCCTGCCGTGTACTCTTCTCTATATAGTAGCTCATCTAATCTCAGTTATGCCAGGAGGCAGATACTATTATTGTTCCCCATTTTAAAAATGACACTGAGACCCGAAGAGGTTCTATTGCTTGTCCGGGAAATATGCCTACTAATTAAGGAGGCTGAACCCTGGGCAGACACTTGCGGATCTGTGCTCCTAACCTTTATATTTCTCACAACCTCACGGGGCCACATCAAGTAGTTTGCATTTTGATCCTCGCACTGTGCGGCTGGCAGTGCCCCAGAGCCTGTGGCCGAGGTCCTGTGGGGTGCTGTCCCCGCCAGAGCCGCCTTCTGCCGAATCCGGCTCCCTGGAGCCGACTCATCTCACCGCTGCTTTTGAGCTCACATTCAGTAGTTACTGGGGCAACTTGGGAGGCTGTGAACCTGGCAGGGCCTAGTGTGGGGGCAGGAAAATGACTCACCCAGCAGAGTTCTTTCATTTTTTTTTATAATTTCTTTCTAAGTGTTAAGAGTCTTAGGCGGGTGCACACCTGAGCAGGAGCTCTGCCTCAAGGTCACCGCCCAGAATGATCGGCTGAATGATAAAGGGAAGTGCAAGGCCTCCTTTGTTTTCAAAGGCTGGAAGTTGTAGCAGGTTAATGAAGATGGGGGGTGGGCAAAATACTAACGAATCCCCTTGGGTATTTTTGAGAGTTATATGAGGGCGGAGAACAGAGGAAAGAGGCTGAAATTATATTTTCATTACACTTACATATCAAATATAAATTATATTTTATATTTGTGATTTTATAAGATAAGCAGCCTGTTTGTGTTAGTAACTGAGACTCTCAGGGCATTATTCATACTCCCACTGTAGGTAGCACTGGGTGGACTTCCCATCATCCATTCTGTGGTCTCCTCACCACTGGTGCCTTGTTTCCCAAGCACCTTCCCCACAGAAGCGGCTGGGGAACCGACGTTCTTCTTCGTGACACTCTAGAGGGGGCAGTGCAAGGTGAGGAAATACAAGACCATTAAATCCCTGGTGAGAGCACCTGCTTAGAGCGCTGGCGACGGCGGCGGCAGCAGAGGTGAAAGTCAGGTCGCTCTTTGCTCTGACTCCAAAATTTATTTTCCCCTTTGTGGAGAAGCTGGATTCGTTTGCAGATTCTTCCGCGGCTCCCGGAGGCAGGCAGGTGGCAGATGTTACCTTGGCTTTTTATAGATGAGGAAACTGGCCTTGACTGTCACGTTGCTTCCTGCCTTGTGTCACAGGGTTTAGTCCACCGGAGCCCTCATGTGTGGCTTTTCCTGCCTCAGCGCTGACCTTCTTAGGCCCGAGTATCAGAGGGCAGGAGGATGATAGAGACAAAGCTAGCCTTTCCCTCCCTAATCAATTAAAAACATAAAAATGGAAACCTAAACCCACCCCCAAAACAAACCCTACTCCCAGAGCAAGGGAAGGCCTTGTACCTTGTTGAACGAGGCTGTGTGACATTAGTGGTTGAGGAGCCTGGGCCCCTAAAGCCAGAAAGCCTGGGGTCTGGTCCTGTGCCACCACTTCCTGCTTTGGTGACCTCAGGTAAGAGCGGTGACCTTTCTGGGCCTCAGTCGCCCCTGCTGGGATATGGGAAGGTGTTAGTGCTTCCCTCCTAGGACTGCTGAGAAGTAAGGGAATGACCGCGTGGAGTTCACACCTGCCGACTCTAGTACGTGTTATTTTTCCTGCCCTTATTACCCACAGAATGCTGCTGCTAGTGCTGGTGGTAGTAGTAGTAGTAGTAGTAGTAGTAGCAGCTTCTTGCCTGTTACTTGTAGCAGTGACCCGTGGCACATCTCACCTCCTTGTGACAGTGGCATCGTGCCCCTGGGCTGAAAAATCCCAGCAGTTGCCAGAGGTCTGAAGTCACTGCTCTCACTAGTTGAGTCTAACTGCACTGCCTGTGATTTTTTTCCAGAGGCCTCAGTGTTGTCCCCGATGAAGAAGTCATTGAAATGTATGAGGGGTCCCACGTGCCCCTGGAACAGATGAGTGACTTTTATGGAAAGGTAATCAACAGACATGTCCTGGTAGATTTAGGATCTCTCTGAGTGCTCCTATGGAACTGACAAGGGCATTTGGGACTGTTTCGAGAGGCCCTGGATTTGAGAGAGGCTAGTATGTTGGCATCTCTCCTAGGCCCTTCATGATTCCTCTTGCTTAGCTCTTTCCTCCCTATCTGATGAAGGTTCTTTATACCTTCCTTGCACCCACCCCTGTCTACAACCCCCCACTCCAGGCATGTCCCCACTTTCTGGATGAAGTCAGGGCGGCTGTGGTTGCCTTCCCTGAGATCGAGGACAGCAGGTCACCCTGTGCTTGAAGGGAAGCCTCTGCTTCTCTGACTTTTGTGGTTCTCTTTGCTTTCTGAATTTTTGCTCGTCTTATTGGGTGTGCTCTTATTTTTACTGTCAAAATGCACTGGAAAGGTGCCCGGTCAGCTGGTGAACTTAGGCTTACTAATTGCCAGCATTTAGAGAAAGGCTCTTTTTCAGGCTCACATATGGCTGCGTGGGGGCACTCACATTCAGGAGAGTTATGTGGCTTTTTATGCCATTCCATGGGCAGTAGTCTGCTTGCCAGCTTTCCTCTGTGTTTGATGGGAGATTGTGAGCTGGAAGTTAGAGCTCACAGAAGCATGAAAAAGTGGTTAGATTTTTTGGGGGCGGAAATCAGGACATTTCCTTGGATTTCCCAGTTGTGCGTAGAGTACATCATCAGCTGTGCCGGGAATGATAAGAAATAAGGCAAATGCTTCTACTTTGTTATTGTTAAAATTGTCCTTTTCTTGGGGAGAGGGATCCAGATGTTGATGACCAGAATCCCCTCTCGGGTAAATGTCAAGTCTGGCTCTGCTGTGGTGTTGGTCTCTGTTTCTGACGCTCTCCTCCCTGCCTGCAGAGTTCTCATGGAAACACCATGAAGCAGTTCATGGACATCTTCTCCCTGCCGGAGATGTCCCTCCTCTCCTGCGTGAATGAATACTTCCTTAAGAACAACATCGACTATGAGCCTGTCCATCTGTACAAAGACGTCAAGGTGAGAGGCGGTGGTCCATGTCTCCCAGAGGGTTTCAGCAGAAGGGACAGCATCATTAGCCTCCTTGGGTTAAGAATTTGAAATAGTCCTTTGCCTGGGATCTCTTTTATTTATGGTTTTACCCTGAAAATTATTAAGAAAGATCTTACGTTAGGAAGATCTGGAAGAAGCTGGAAATCAGTTAAGGAAGAAGGTGCTCATATTGTTATCTGGATTTCTAATTCTTCCTGACCAAAGGCCAGGGCCAGTGCATCTGGTCAGAGGGGCGGGTGGTGGCTGAGGTCCAGCCTGACCCAGCTCACCGCTGAGCCTGCCTGCAGAGGGGGTGATCTCACACTCAGGCTGCAGCCCGTGCAACTGCAGTTGCCCAGAGCGGGCCTTTCTCTTGTACGCAGAGGTTCCATGTAGGCCTTCCCAGCCCTGCAAAAGCTGTGTGAAAACCCAGTTGGAGAGGTTTATAGACAGCTGTGAAACTTACATGCATATATACGTACATCATTTATGTAGCTTTGTATTTATATATGTTGATTTATGTTCACATATGTTTATATATATTCTTTAAACTTTCTAAACTTTTTTTAGTACTTAAAAATATGTTCATGTATTGACATATACTTATATACATAGGTTTATAAGTATGTATTTCTATGTATATATTTATGTAATACATATTTAATAAGTACTCATTTTTAAGAGATCTATATTTATGTACTACAATGTTTTTATTATATCCTTATGATTAATTTTAAATTTCGACTGCTTTAAATCATGGCTTTTAGGAAGATGAAGGATGAATTCTAGTTTCTCAGTATTAGTCTGGTATGATTTGAACTAAAGTTAAATATTTAGTTTCTTTTCTCCTTTTTATGTGCACAAATGCTTTATCTTTAAGAATCTTTAAGAATCACTTGTAGTAAAAAATAAATAAAAGAACCACTTGTAGTTATATAACCCTTGCAGTCATGAGGAGAGATGTCTATTTGATACCACCAATGGAGAGCACTGAGGTATATTCCAGGCACTGTTTTTCTCAGTGCTTTCTGCATATTAACTCATTAAGTCCTCACAACCATGCCTGGAGGTAGGTACTATCATTACTCCCATTCTGCAGATAAAGAAATCGAGGCACAGAGAGGTTGAGTCACTTGCCCAGAGTCACACAGATAGTAACGGCAGAGCCTAGATTTCCGGCCAGGAAGTTGGCTTCGGCTTGCTCTGAATCCCTGCCTTCTGCCGATGTGAAGCCTGCGCTGGAAGGTGGCCGAGGTTGAGTTTATAGTCCAGAGGTGCTCACTCTTGATAGAAATCTCCTACCAGTTTTCTAAGGCTTATGGCCCAGTTTTGCCTGCAGCCCAGTCCCCTGCTGTAGGCGCCAGAAAGTTTCCGTGTGCCTCCAGGAGAGCCACCTCTGTGGTGGACCTGCTTAGTGCCCCCTGAGGGTGGGGCTGCACTCTGACACCTGCCGGGCATCAGGTTGCCACAGCCTGTGGCCTGGGAGGGGCTCACGGCCCCCTCCTCCTCACGCTGGCCTGAGTTAGCATCTCACTGACTGCTCCTCGCCTCGCTGAGTGGAAGAGCCTGTCATTGGTCTCGGCCTCTTTCTCTGGAGTAGAGAACCTGCTCTTGGGGTCTAGGGAGGGGTGCAAAGATGAAAAAAGCAGTAATTCCCTTTGTCCAGATGCCCTGGAATCGTCTGTTCGTGATACTGTGTAGAAATTGCCATTTACCGTGTGGAATTTTATTCAGAATTATTCATACAAGTTATGTCCCCCCAGTCACCCTTCTGAAAACTTTCACTGTCGCCCTGGAAACCTAAGTGTTGGCCGCCTGTGTGAAATGGCCCAGCACTGGGATTTCATTTGGTGCTTGGATGGCCAGGCCTCTAAAGGCGGACATTGTTGCGAATGCCGTTTCACTTGTCCTGTCACGCAGGCTGTCGCACTGACCCCATCACTGATTGGAAACCTCTCTTTCGACAGGATTCAATTCGAGACGTGCACATCAAAGGAATCATGTACAGCGCGATCGAAGCAGATATTGGTACGTAGGCAGCATTATCGCGAGGGCCGCTTCAGCCTGTCCCTTTGCCTGGCCACGAGCCGGCCGTTATTTTCATTCTTGGTGCCGAGCCGGCGCCCAGTACCTCTTCCCAGTGCAGCGTGAGGACCTTGGTTCCTTGCACCTCAGACGTCTCCCTCCCCTTTGTCTCAGAGCTCCACCTAATCCTGACCCAAAAAGACGGGTACTGGCCACGGCAGGCAGGCATCTAGTATGTTCCCTTAGACCGAGGGGGTGGAGTCTTGGTTCCTGATGGACCAGGTACTGTTAGGCCAGCCTGAACCACGCTTCCTTAAGACTTGCCTTCTCCCAAGGGCCCCGGATGCACTGGACCCACAGGTTTAGGGAGCCCTTGCAGACTGACCGACTTCATGCTGAATCCGTGTGTGAATTTGTCTCTCGCTCTTAGAAAAGTACATCTGCTATGCTGAGCAGACCCGTGCAGTGCTGGCCAAACTGGCTGATCACGGCAAGAAGATGTTCCTCATCACCAACAGCCCCAGCAGTTTTGTGTAAGTGGCAGCAGGTGTCCCTGCTGGCTTCTGGCTCACATCTTGTCTGGTATTCCCATTTATGTTCACAGTTGAAAATTTGAAAGAAAATGTTGCAAAGGTAGTGAATCCATTTCTTGTTAGACTCACCCGGCTGACCTGTTGTTTCAGGAACAAAGGGATGAAGTATATTGTCGGAAAAGACTGGAGGGACCTGTTTGATGTGGTCATCGTTCAGGCCGAGAAGCCAAACTTCTTTAACGATAAGCGGAGGTGAGCGTCTGTCTTTCTGGGAGAACTAGATCGTTGTCCTTTGCTGCCGTGAACATTTAAGACGTGTGACTTGGTGAAGTCTAGTTGGAAAATCAGAAGCATCTGACATTGTAGCTTTTGATTTTGAGGACGGCTCACACCTGTTGAGGTGGTTCTCACTTCAGCTGGGGCTACTTCAGTCCTGGGGGTCAGGCTCTAAGAAAAAGATAAAAAAAAAAAAAAAGAAGAGAGAAAGATTGACAGCCATGAAAAAGCCACACTTAGTATTACATCATAAGTTAGACCTCTTGATGCAGATGCATTGTGAAGTGTAAAAGACGACAGGAACAGCGAGCCACCTGGCGGGTATTTTGGTACGTAGGGCTCTCACTGGGGCATTTAAGATTACAACTGGATTTTGCAAAACTCTGCAACACAGGTTTTGTGTCAAATGGAGTAAATCTCTACCAAGACTTACATGGCGTCTTCCTGCCATGGGGAATAAAGGAGCGGGGAAGTTTTGGGTTAAGACGGTGACTGGGGTGTGCTCTTAGCATTAGTAGGTGGGGGTCAGGGGTCCTAAAATGTTTTTTTTTTTTAACATTTAAAAATGTTTTATTTTATTTTTTAAAAGATTTTATTTATATTGAGAGAGAGAGAGAGCATGAGCAGGAGGGAGGGACAGAGGGGAGAGGAAGAAGCAACTCCTCTGCTGAGCAGGCAGCCCGATGAGGGGCTCGATCCCAGCACCCCAGGATCATGACCTGAGCTGAAGGCAGATGCTTAGCTGACTGAGCCACCCAGGCGCCCCTAAAATGTTTTGCAATGTGTGGAACAGGCCTCTTCACCAAGTGTCATCCCCTCCCCCGGCACCCATTTATTTTGTCTTTGTTCTGCATGCACGGAACACCTTCATTCCTCCTTGTGTTATTTATAATGATGAAGATCAGAGACAACCTAAAGGATCATCCATGGGAGGGGGTATTATACAGCCATTAAGCATGATGTATTTGGGGGGCGCCTGGGTGGTTCAGTTGGTTGGGCGACCGATTTGATTTTGGCTGAGGTCATGATCTCAGGGTCACGGGATCAAGCCCTGCATCGGGATTCTCTCTCTTTCTCCCTCTTTTCCTCCCTGCATGCACACGCGCTCTCTCTCTCTCTCTCAAAAAAAAGAAAAAGATGTATTTGGGAAAAAAAGCAATGAGCATGTTTTATGACTGTTAAAAACACGTATGAAAGAATTTGTAATCACATGGGAGATTGCTCGCAACATTAGAGGAAAAAAGATACAAATCAGTATATGCAGTGATCCTCATTTGTGTTCATGAAAAAGAGAAAAATAACAGATGCTCTCTTTATAGACTGAAAGACACCTACTGAAATGTTAGGTGTTTATACCTGGGCACTGGGATTAGGGGTCACTTCCCTTTTTCTTCATTCTATTCTGCATTTTCCAGATTTTTTGCAGTCAGTTTAAATTTTTCTGATTAGAAAAACAATCCAAATAATGTTACCTTAAAAAAAGGCAAACAGACCCCCACATACTTTGGACTTTTATTCTTTTTTTTCTTTTAATTTTAAAGATCTAATTGGCTTTATTAATTTATTCATGAATTAGGCTGCATCCCATCTAGCAAGTAGAGGGGAGCTCCTGGAAGCCTTTATTCTTATTCCCATTCTCCATCATAAAGTGATTTGTCTCCTACTCAGATTTGTTTTGTGTCTAGAGTGGCTGGATTTCAAGCACCGAGTGGGACATGTGTACTAAGGCGGTTTTTCCATAAGCTGTTTTTGTGAAGCAGATTTTCTCTGTGATCGAATACATTTTGGGAAATCTGGGCTAAAGAAAGTTTCTCTCCCGGGAGGGCTTTTTAGAGTCCTCAGTGACTTTTTAAGAGGGACGTAAGTAGTGCCTAGTGTTTTCCAAATTTATTTGACTCTGGAGTTCTTTCTTCATTAAATACCTTTTGGATCCTGGGGTCCAGGTTTGTGCAGTCCCTTTTCATTCCCACTGAATAACCCTGTGGTGTTTCCTAAGCAGACAGCATGCACCGTTCCCATGGGTTATGGTGTTTTCCCCTTTTTGTTGTTAGACCTTTCCGCAAGGTGAACGAGAAAGGTGTCTTGCTCTGGGACAAGATCCACAAGTTGCAGAAAGGCCAGATTTATAAGCAGGTACCTCATGACTGATTTTTCCTTCTTGTTCCTTTGCTTTGTGGTCAGTTATAATGAAAACAGCCAACGTTTGTTGAGGCCTCCTGTGTGCCCAGCATAGTTCTGAGTGTTCTGCTTGAATTGGCTGTTTATAACGTGGCAGCAAAATTTAAACTTAAGTCAGTATATTCTCAATGTGTTACGTCTAAATTAACTCAGAATTGAACAGTCTTTAAAAACAAAATTTAAAGCATTACTTTTATAGTATATATAATTTAAGATGTTAGTAGTAAACCTTGGATATTTCTCTTGAAGAAGCATTGAATCACATGATGTATTATCTTAAATTAGTGATTATTTCCTGATGAGCTGTGTTTTATATACAGTTTTGATATATTTTGGTATAAGTAAAGCTCTCAAATGTTTGAATAAGTGATTGAATCACTGACCCTTCTTGTGTTACTGAAGTTCGTTTTATCTCATCCTTTAAAATTATTATATTTCTGTAAGATTTATAAAACACATGAAATTATAGAACAGTACCACAGGGTTAAAAAAACTTGATACATTCCTGGTGGATTTATAACACACTGCTGATTTGGCAGTAAGTATGTTTTCTAGGCCTTGAAAGATTTGCTTTCATACAGCCATCCCACTACTAGGAAGTTAGACCAAGGAAATTATTAAGATGTAGCTAAAACTTTGCTACAATAATATTTACCATGAGTTACAAAATAGATAACAAGGTGAATGTCCAACATCAGGGAATTGGTAAAAGGAATCACAGTATTTCTCAGCTACTGAAATGGTAGATTAGTACTTACTGACAGGGTCATAGACTGTTCAGTGTAAAAAGATCATTACAGAGAGGTATATACAGTATGAATCATTTTTGGAAAGTGCATTTGACTTAGAAGAAAGGTCTGAGAGATTTCATGCAAAGGTGTTTTTGTGTTTTATGTTTTGATACTTAAATTCTATATTAAAGCAAAGTTCTTGTTAAGTTTTTAAAAATAGATATTTTGGGCCACAGGTTATATAGGCTTCTATTTCAGATGATATAATATCTATATTTTTCTATTATTGTAGGGCAATTTATATGAATTTTTGAAGCTTACTGGATGGAGAGGATCCAAAGTGTTGTATTTTGGTGACCACATATACAGTGACCTGGCGGTGAGGAGCCTCTTTTTCCATTTTTTTGTTGGGGGACAGATGTGTTAGTCTCACTTCCTAAGGAATTTCTCTTTAGTTTAAGACCATTTTTATGCTTTCATAAAAATGAGGACTAGGTCGCCTTTTTTTTTTTTTAATGTCTCATTCTTTACAGAACAGAATGGATGAGAGGTGTAACAAAGGTAATTTTTTTTGAAATGATAGAAATTAGTAATTTACTCAGGATTTATCAGAAAAATATTTCCATTTAAGTAATGGTAAGAAATAAATGCCAGTGTTCTTTTCTTTTCTTTTTTAAAGATTTTATTTATTTATTTGACAGAGAGAGAGAGACACAGCGAGAGAGGGAACACAGGCAGGGGGAGTGGGAGAGGGAGAAGCAGGCTTCCTGTGGAGCAGGGAGCCCGATGTGCGGGGCTCGATCCCAGGACCCCTGGGATCATGACCTGAGCTGAAGGCAGACGCTTAACTGACTGAGCCACCCAGGCACCCCAAGTTCTTTTCTTTTTTGTCATCTCATTAAACATCAGAGGCAGACGAAGATTTTGTAAACGTTACTCAGGGCTTCTTTTGCAAGTTCAAAAACTGGCATTTCCAGGAAACAGCTATTATAAGAAAGTGAGGCATTTCATGCCCTTTGGAATAACTAGAGCAGTGTTGCAGGACTTGAATTATGATTTAATCTGTAATTGGAACAAGACTGAGTCAGTCACGTTTACTGCCATGCTCGGCTCCTGGTGCAGTGAATTTCTGTTTGCTCAGTGAGCCCAGGCTAGAGGCACCATGCACAATTTGCAAAGCCTGAGTGATGCCCAGTGTCGGCAGAGTCACCAGCGTGGGGGCGTGGCTGGCAGTTGAACTCCATTATTGGTATTTCCGAGCATTTGGAGCCACTTTAGAGTGGTCTCATGTTTCTGTCCCTCTTGTGTCCACTGGCCATCCAAGCAATGAGCTGGAATGGGCTGTGCAGTAGGACCTCCTGGGATGCGTATTCATAGCACATGTGCTGGAGTCTGAAGTCTGTGGCCTCAGACTTCAGACAGTCTGGGGGTGGGGGAGGGGGAAGTGGGGGGTGATTCCAGTGTCTGTCCGGAGATACTCTTCCCAGGTGGTTGCAGCACATGCCCCGCATGGTCATGTCTGTCCAGCGGGCTGAGGGTCCAGTGGAAGGAATCATGGGCTCAGAACTGGAAGATAGGTTTTCACTTCAGCTCTACTGTTTTTAGCTGGGTGACCCGACACACATCCTCCAAGCCCCGACATCCTCATTTGTGAGAAGAGTGAAGTAAGATAATGTGTGTAAAAGTCTTAGTGAAGTGCTACTATCCGGAGGTTGGCACGACCAGAATGTTTGGCCATGGCGTCACAGACATTTGCCTCTTGCCAAGTGGAGTCTTGGGCCTTGATGAGATAACTATGTGCTACCCATGAGGTTTGTGGGTACAGGGCCCTGTGAAGGCACACACACGCATACAGGTCTTAGCATTGTGAGAGGTGCTCACAAAACAGTAGTTTTTTCGAGTGTGGTCCCTGTGACATCAGCATCACCTGGAAAACTTGTTAGAAATGCAGTTTCTCAGGCCTCACATCAGAACTGCCGAGTCAGAAACTCTGGTGGGGCTCAGCTGTCCATGTTTTAAACAGCTTTTCACATTAAAATTTGATATCAGGGTAATATTGCCTCAGAATAAGTTAGGAAGTGATTTCTCTTTTTCAGTTTCTGGAAGAGTTGGAGAAGGATTGGTGATAATTCCTCTTTAAATGTTTGGAAGGATTCACCAGTGAAACCGTCTGGGCTTTTTATTGTTGGAAGGGTCCTGGGCTTTTTATTGTTGGAAGGGTTTTGATTACTGATTCAATGTCCTTACTAGTTAGAGGTCTTTTCAGATTTCCTCTTTCTTCATGAGTCAGTCTTGGTGGGTTGTGTGTTTCTGGGAATGTCACCTAGGTTATTCAGGTTGTTCCTGTACGGGAATTGGTAGCTTTTATAATTTTTATTTCTGTAGAATTGGTAGTATTGCCACCACTTAAATTTCTGATTTTAGTAATTTGAGTCTTTTTTTTTTTGTCAAGCTAAAAGTTTGTCAATTTTGTTGTCAATCTTCCCTTGTTTTTTTTGATTTTTTTAATATTGTTTTTCTACTCTCTTTTAATCTCTGCTCTGATCTTTGTGATTTCCTTGGTCTTAATTAGCTTTCAGATTAGTTTGTCTCGTTCCTTATGGTGTAAAGTTCGATGGTTAATTTGGGACCTTTCTTTTATTTTTCATTGTAAGTGTGTATGGCTATAAATTTCCCTCTGAGTACTGCATTTGCTGCATCCCATAGGTTTTGTTATGTCGTGTGTGTGTTTGCATTTAAATTTGGCACAGGGTATTTTCTCATTTCTCTTGTGATTTCTTCTTTGACTTTGAGGGTGTTTTTTCATTGCCATATGTTTGTGAACTCTTCAGTTTTTCCTTCTGCTGTTGATTTCTAGCTTCGCTCCTTGTGATCAGTAAAGATAGTTTGTGTGATTTTAAAATTCATTTTGACGTATTTTGGGGCCTAATGTAAGGTCTGTCCTAGAGACTGTTTCATGTGCATGGAGAAAAATGTGCATTCTGCTTTTGTTGGGTGGCGTGTTCTACATATGTCTGTGAGGTCTGGTTGGTCTTCAGTGTTGTTCAAGTCATATTTCCTGATGCATCGTCTTCTGTCTGGTGGTTTTTCTGTTATAGAATGTGGACTGTTGAAGTCTCCTACTGTTACTGCAGAGCTGACTATTGTTTCCTTCAGTTCTGTTAATATTTGCTTCATATATTATGGAGCTCTGATGTTTGGTGCATATATGCTTGTAACTGTTATATATTCTTGGTGAATTGACCTTTTGTCATTATATAATGTCATTCTTTTTGTCTTGTGACAGTTTTTGATTTAAGGTCTGTTTTGTCTGAAATTAGCATAGCACCCCTGCTCTCTTTTGATTACTGTTTGTATGGAATATCTTTTTTAGTCCTTTCAATCTATGTGTGTCCTTAAATCTACAGTGAATCTCTTGGAGGGATGCCTGGCTGGCTCAGTTGGTGAAGCATGTGACTCTTGATCTTGGGGTTGTAGGTTCGAGCCCCACATTGGGTGTAGAGATTTTAAATAAACAAACAAACAAATAAATTGAGTCTCTTGGAGTATATAGTTGGATCCCATGCCAAAGTTTGAAAACCACTGTTACAAAGTGCTAAGATCAATTCATTAACTAACATGTCAGAAATTATGTGGCAAAGCACCTTATCCTTCAAGGGAGTCACCTTGGGAATATAGCTACTTCTAATGTTGGTGCTGTTTCTCAAAAAACATTTGGGTGCCCCTTTCGGGATAGATTTGAGAGCCAGGTTGAGGCACAGGAGAGAATCAGTTTTATTATTAATAATTTATTATCATATATAGTCTTAAGAATGTTCCAGATGACTTTTTACTTATTTTTGGAAATAAAAGCCACCTTCCAAAGTTTGCCACCGTTGGGAGTATTTGAAAGGTTGTGCTGTAGGTTTTCATATATTATAGGAGAAGGAGAAATACTGAAAGGTTTAAAGAAATTCAGTGGGTGAAGATGGTAGGCATCCTTAGCACTTACGGAGCAGGGATTCTGGCTTTAGCTGAGTAGTCAGTGAACTTTTAAAATTGTAAACCTTATACCACTTTATTCCTTAAAACCTCAAAGCTTTCCTTTATTCTTCAGAGTAAAAGCCTGATTTCCTACTGTTTCCTCCAATGCCCTGCTTGATCTGTCCTTCTCCAGCCTACCTCTCTGAAGGCAGGACCTGCCTCTGCCCTCTCCTACTCTGCTGTAGGCTCCCTGCCTGGCTATTCCCTTATAACTCTACCTCCACGCCCCCTACCCCAGCATGTTCCTGCCCCAGGGCCTTTGCACTTACTGTTTTTCCAGCCTGAATTGTTCTCCCACATATTTCATACTTTCACTCTCCTTCCCTTCTGATCTCTGCTCAAACATCCCTTCATTGGCCTGGTTTTCCTAACCACTTTATATACGATGGTAACTTTTTCCTTTCTTATTCCGCTTGATATTTGACCATTGTATTTATCACCACCTGCCTTTGTATATTTACTTGCTTATTTTTTGCCTGTATTTTCCATGAGGGCAGGGTTTTGTCAGTTTTTGTTCATTGTTTTATCCTCATTGTCTAAAACAGGGCCTGGCAGAAGTATTGGATAAATATTTGCCAAATGAGAAAATGAATGACCATTTAGTATGGTGATTGTATATCTTACATTTCCCAGGATATATCTGTTGGCAGATATTCTGGCTTATTGTCAGATCATGAGGTTACTGTATTTGGAATGAAGAATGTGATCATGTATGTCTGTGTTGTAGGATCATTCCAAGTCTGAGATTCTATAATTCCCCATAAACCACAAGGCTCGGCACTTGGTAGGTGCTCCCTAGTGGTCTGTGGACGAATTGAATGAAGACCTCCAGTGGCTTTTTGGTGGAGCCTCTTTCTGCCCCTGACCTGTTGTTTTATAGACCATGGTTAATGATTTCAGACCCTGCATTTCTGCAGGGACTGTGATTCACCACAGTTATTTCCAGAACAGAAACTCTCTTTGGGTGTAATGGTCAAAGCCTGGGGCTAACTTGGTTTTAGTTAGATGTAATTCATTGAATTTCCTTGGTTAATAACTAACCACTACAATGAAGAAGTAGTTCAGCGAACACCTGTTGCATCTGGGAAAGGGAATGGAATGGTTTAAATTCTGTCGAGATGAATGTGGACTTTTGGTGATCTTTATGATCAGGATTTGACCCTGAAGCATGGCTGGCGGACTGGTGCGATTATCCCGGAGCTGAGATCCGAGCTCAGGATCATGAACACGGAGCAGTACATTCAAACCATGACCTGGCTTCAGACCCTGACCGGGTTATTGGAGCAGATGCAGGTTTGCGACTTTTTTCTCTCTCCTCCTTTTTTTCTTTAAGTCTGAAGTTAGTCTGCTAATCAAAGTTATTACATATATTTTCTTTTTAATTGCAGTTATAAAGCATGAGGTGTAAGGCATCCTGCAGAATAACTCCTGGGGTTATTTTGCCCCTGAGAGAGTTTCGCCAGTTTCCCTGAAGAGAACTTTGAAAGTGCCCGCAGATTCATTTAGAGGAAGAGCTTTGTGGGGCTGTGTAAGCGCAGGGGTCTGTGTAGATACCTCGGTTGGTGGAAATCCCGTGTCCCCACTGAAGCTCTGTTGGGAGACGTCCTGTGGGGTAGTGGGATTCAAGAACCTCTGCTGATGTGTGGGGCTAGTCCTGCCTCTGCCTTGGGCCTGCTGTGGGATTCTCCATTCTGGGCCTCAGTTTCCCCATCTGTAAAATGAAGGGTCCTGTGGAATGAATACCTCAGGCTAGGCGTCTGGCTTACTGGAGAGGGTCTCAAAGCAAAAGTCAGTATCTCTGCGTGCAGCCTCCACTTGATTTTGAACATAATACCTATAGCTTGCTGGCTCACTGGGGTTCAGTGGCAGTTTTTTCTTTGTGTAAGTTACGTAGCCAGTTTTGGACGGTTAGTGAGGAATGTTATTTTTGGTGATTTTCCAACCCGAGAAAGCTGCCCCTCTCTTGTCGCTGTGGCCCACTCCCAGTTCTCCTCAGACACCTTGCTTCCCGCTTGGTTCAGCTGACCTGGCCTGCGGCTTTCTGAGGATAAGGAGCACACTGCCCGCTCTCTTCGCTAACACACCTGTAGCTTCTGGCCCACAGCCCACCAGTCCGCTTTGGGAATGGGCAGGGGCCTGCCTCGCCTGGTCCAGCTGGCGGTCCTCGTGGAAGCTGCTGTCAGTGAGCTCAGGCAGAGCTGTGGGGAGTGACCTCGCACGTCCCCCAGGCCTCGCTTCCAGTGTGCTCTGCCCACGCTGGTTCTTGGCTGATCTGTGATGAGGATTTGTGGTTTCCCTTACTATGCTTGTCTGGGAGGTGCTTTTCTAAAAATACAAGGCATCAGTTCTGGGTTAATGTAGCTTCAAGTCTGTACATAGGTCAGACAATAATAGTAGTGACTTTTCGCATGCCAGACTTCGTGCCGAGTGCCTATTCTGCACACATGAGTCATGAATAGTCCCGGCTGTCCTCTGCAGGCAGGTACAATTTTGCCACTTCCGAATAAGGAGACTAGGTGTTTGAGAAGTCAGGCAACATATCTGAGGTCGTAAAATGCCAAAGCAAGAACTTGAACTTAAGGCTTGTGTGATGCCCAAGTCCACTCTATAGAGTCTTAACTTCCACACCGTCACCTTGGGCTCTAAGAAGTAAAATGAAACCCAACCCAGTGTCGTTTGGAGCCAAGTCTGATGAATTAAATATAAGTATATAATTTTTGCTTTGAGAAAGTAGCTGTAAAAAATAAAGATAGTTTTGTTAACTAGCCTCGAAGTGCAGTCCAGTATGGTGTGGTTGGTGGTGGTAGACAGTCTTCCCGGGTTATCATGTCACAACCACATTTAGCCCAGGGGTTGGCCAATTTCTGCCAAGGGTCAGGTCAGTCAACATGTCGTGCTGTGTGGGCCAAGCCATCTATCACTGCTACTCAGCTGTGCTTGCAGTCCAGAAGCAGCCCTGGACAATGTGGACAATGCGGAAACGACCGGGCATGGTTGTGTCCTGTGGCTTTATTGGTGGACCCTGAAATGTGAATTTCATACCATTTTTGTGTGTCATAAAATTGTTCTTCTTTTGATTCCCCACACCTCCCAACCATTTAGAAAGGAACTTATTCTTCAGCTCAGAAGCCGATAGGAAAAATGGGTGGTGGGCTGGACGTGGCCTTCCCTGGTAGAGGCTGGGGGGCTGGCTGGATTGCAGGCCCTGCTCACACTGGGCAGGAGGGCTGGTGCCGCAGATGGAGCGTGATCTACATTTTTGCTCTCTCCTGTGGAGCTGATTATGCTAATTAGTGATGGGGCCAAAGATGGCATCAGCTTCTGGGGTGGGCTTCTGGTGAGTCTTTTCTGATGTTAACTACCCACCCTGGAGTGCGTGGTTTCACTTAAAGATTAGGTATCACTAATGAGCACACCCTTCTTCTGAAGTAGTTTAAAGTAGATTTCAGATACCTCAGACTTGTTTAAAATTTTGGCCTTGGAGGAGGAGCAGAGCTGGAGAAAGAAGTGCGTCAAGGAAAAAATAGCTTTTTTTTAAAAAAAAAAATTTTATTTATTTGAGAGGGAGAGATGAGAAAGAGCATGAGAGGGGAGAGGGTCAGAGGTCAGAGGGTGAAGCAGATGCCTGGCTGAGTGGGGAGCTGGATGTGGGACTCGATCCTGGGACTCCGGGATCATGACCTGAGCTGAAGGCAGTCACTTGACCAACTGAGCCACTCAGGTGCCTCCCCCGCCCCCCTTTGTTTTTTTAAATGGGAGAGACTTGAGCATGTGCAAATGCGGATGGAGGGGTGCCGGGTGAGGAGGCTGAGCTTATGGCAGTGACGGTAAACAGTGGAGACAGGTTCCCAGGGGGGCAGAGTGGGGCCCATGATGTCTGCTCCATTTCCAGCAGAGATGGACTGGGAGACCCACTAGGATGGCCCTTCAGGTCTGCAGAGCCTGCCCTGGGGTGGGGGCCCACCTGCAGGGCAGGAGTGGAGAGGAGAATTTACATGCCATGTGGCAGCAAGTTTCAGAAAGAGAGCGCAGGTAGATTCACTTTGGTAATCCTCATGCCTGTCCCTGGAGAATTCTCCCGTGCTGCATTTACGGGCTGAGTAAGGAAGCAGGCGTCTCTGCCTCCTGCGTAGACAAGGACAGAGGTGCCCAGTTCGTGGGCTGAGAGGGGTGTGTGGGCAGAGGTGGGGGGTTCCCACTCACGGACTGACTCCTCACTTTCTGTAGTGTCACGTTGTTTTGTCACAGTCTGTTTACCTAGGCGTGCCCCCCATAGGGGCCTCTTGTCTTGTCCTCTCTTGTATCTTCAGTGTCAAGCACGATGCTGGGGATATGGTGGGTGTGCAGCACTGATGTGTATGTACGTGTTTGTGTGTGTGTGCGTGTGTACAGAAATTTGTTGTGGCTCCCTACACATTTTACCTTTTCTGATCTAGTCACGTATTTTGTAGAGCCTCAGTTCTGTAGTGAGTAACTTCTTGATTAAAATGTGAAAACTAATTAAAACCATGTTCACAGAACCTCTGTCAGCACCCCCAGAAGCGCTGGCACAGTCTTCCGGTGCTCCCAGTAACACCCAGCCAGTGGTTGTCCAATGGCAACTGCTTCCCACTGGTGCAGGCAGTGGTGCTGGGCCGGACGTGCAGGTTACAAGCTCAGTCCGCGCGGCTTTCGTGTGAGTGGTAGAGGTTCTAGCAGGTGACTGCCAGTCAAGCCGTTGAGCTGGGCAGAGGCAGTAAACAGAGGGCCTTGGCTCCCAACATGGGGAGCTGATGGTTTGCTTGTTTGGTATCTTCCTCAGGGCTCTAAGGCTCCCCTGTGAGCATGAATTGCAGGGAGCCCCACCTGCCCCCGCACTCCCATGCCCGTCTGGCCCTGGCGGGGGCGTTTCCATTCAGCCACGAGAGACTGGTGAGATTTCGGTTGTTAGGTTGTGGGCAGTTGTTCTTTTTCTTCTTGCCTTTTGCTCACATTTCAGCCCAACTGGAAAATTCTCTGCTTTTCCATCTGGTTGAGGTGCTCTACCTTCTTGTCTTTCCCAAAATAGTTATTTATTTTCTCTTGAACACTTTAGAAAGGATAATATAACATCAAGGGAAAACATTAAAACCATTTATAATCCTACTTCCCTTGCACAAATTAAAGAAAAATTTCCACGCTCATTGCCAAATATATGCACGTATTTTGACATGCTTGCAATTAGAGATGTACCGTTAAACCTGCTCGCTCCACTTACCTGCCATTTTTATGATTATACTTAACCTGTGATCTGTGTAATAGGGGGTGTGTGGTAAGTGTGTGTTTATATACGTGGTACACGTGATAATGGACACACTGCACACACATATTTTATGTGGATATATATGCATTGTGTTTATACATAGTCTTTACTAATACTGTCAATGCTCCAATTTGATAGGGGCCTTGTTTAATAGGTTCATAATGTTCCATAATGTTTTGCGCATTCAAAAACTTTTGGTGAAGAAGTCAGGACTGCAGCCGGGAATCTGAAAATGTGTTACTTCATGCAAGCGCCTATGTCTTCGACCTCAAGGAATGAAATTCTTCCGAGGAGAGCTGCCTGTTAAAAAATTCTTATAACCTCATGAGCTTCTTTGCAGCTCGAGCAGCCTCAGTGATTAGCTTGTGTCCTGCAGGTTCACAGAGATGCCGAGTCACAGCTGGTTCTGCAGGAGTGGAAAAAGGAAAGAAAGGAGATGAGGTAAGGGGCCCGTTTTGAGTGCGGCGAGCCCGCCACCCTGTTGCACCTCTCCCAGCCCACGCGCCGTCCCCAGCACTGGCCCGAGGCAGCCCTCCTGTGTTAAGCTGCCAGGTGTGAACGGGACCATAGCTGTCGTAGCTACAACTAGGCATGGCTGCCACTAGTGGGGGGGACACGTGTGACATTTCCTTGAGCAGCAGCGACCTTTCTCAGACCTCCTGCTGTTGCCCTTGAACGCCAGGGTGGAAGGAGCTGTCCCTTCCCGCCCTCTTCCCTGCCCGCTTGACACTTGCCCGTCTGCGCAGCCGGGGGCCCAGAGTGGCTCCTGGGACGGCGTGGGGGGCGGGCTCGGAACTGCCGTGAATTCTTAGGGCTCCTACAGCCCAGCTGCTTTTTTGTCATCAGGGATATGTGAGCCTATGTAAACATGGCAGGATCAGAATGTTTACTGGTGAGGAGAGCCCACCTGCTGGGGTCTGGGAAGTTTGGCGGGTAGGGCATCTTAACGGAAGAGTTGTTGGAAAGAGGCCCGGGACCGTCGTGTTTCCTTAAGAAGGATGCCATATATGCAGACGCTGTTTATATGACCGTTCCCCTTCGGCTGGGTTTGGGAGCAGTGGTCGCTGCGTGGGTTCTGGCCTCTGAGCAGTGCACAGCCTGCTTGGGGGGAGCGGCGTGGAGAGGGGACAGTCATCCTTGGGGGCTGCAGAGGCCACGGCCATATTGCATTCAGTCCTTCCTCCTCCTCTTGGTGTTGGCTGCCTGGGGCTCATTCTGATTGGAATCTTATTCTCATGTTGGTATAAAAATGTTGCATGACTTGAGAGGGTGAGGGGAGGCGTACGGTGTGATTGGACTTCAGGCCCCTTGCCCCCAAAGGCCAGGCCTGGGCGCTGCCCCAGGAATCACAGATTGTCCAATGAAGAAGGAGCCACTTCACCATCAGAGATCCTGTTTTGGATTTAAGTCTCCCACAACCTCACATCTTAATGAGATTTTTCACGAAAAGTGTAAAAACCATTTATATTGCTCCGCTTGCAGACCTAGTGGAGTTTTAAAAATTTTCTACTCTGGTTGTCACAGCATCTGCTGTCACCATCTACTGGACAGACAGCTGCTACCAGCTAGTGGCTTGTGGGTCACACAGTTATGTATGTGGTTACATTTTCTGCTGTGTTTGTGACTGATTTATTAACAGTCAGGTGGTATTTACCCATTTTGCTGGACTGTTCTGAGTGGAGAGGTCCCAGCCGTCAGATGGTGTGCATATCGTGTGTGTGTGTGTGTGTGTGTGTGTGTGTGTGTGTGTGTGATGGGGTGTTGGTTTCCACACAGATGCACGCCTGCAGGGGTTAGAGCCTGGGGCAGGGGTGAGAAGCCTTGCCAGATGTTGTCCCCTGGGCCGCGAAGAGGCAGTGAGGCGCATGGATCTGTGTAACAGATAGTGGAGATTTATTTACATCACTACCAAATAATCCTTCATTCCCCAGACATCAGAATACTTAAGAGTGTCTCATATGCCTTTACTTCTCTTACCGAGTTCTCACGATAACCTTGTAGAAAGGGGGTCTTGATCCCATTCTGTAGATGAGGGTGGTTTGGACGCTGAGAACATTCTGCATCTGTCCGTGTACCCCCCTCCTGCCTCCTCTGTTTTGGTTTGGGAAACGCGATGCGTCCATTTAGAGGAGCATCCCCATTGAATCTGGAGCCTTCAGCACTGCTCTCTGGCTGGCCTAAGTGGGAAATGTGATCAGAGCCATGTTGATGAGTGGATAGGCAGACTGTTTTCCTGAGCAGGGCTTGGGGCTGCTCTGGGCTGATTTTCCTTTCAGATGAGTCCTATCCAAATAATGTGATTTTGATTTCTTTAACTCAAAAAGAGACTTTTCTGAATCGTTTTCTGTTGCTTTGCTCTTTTCTTGCTGCTTTAGAGAAATGACCAAAAATTTCTTCAACACCCAGTTTGGAAGCTTGTTCCGCACAGACCAGAACCCGACCTATTTCCTGAGGCGCCTGTCGCGCTTCGCTGACATCTACATGGCGTCTCTGAGCTGCCTCTTGAACTACGATGTCAGCCACACGTTCTACCCGCGGAGGACTCCGCTGCAGCACGAACTTCCCGCCTGGTCGGACAGGGCCCCCACCTTCAGACTCCCCCTCCTGCAGGAGGCCCACGCCAAGTAACCAGGTGCCCACCTGCGGAAAAAGCCAGAAGCAGGGACAACCCCCAACTGGCTGGACGTGATGGGGTTGACTTGTGTGCAAATGAGTGTTGCTTTTGGAAAAGATACAAATACGCCTTTTGGTATTCATTACCTTACGGAGACTCCTTCCACGTTGTTGAGACAGAAGCAGGCAGCCCACCAGTTCTGCCTTTGCGTTTCTCGTTGGGGCGAGTGGCAAGCTTCATGTTGAAACCCTGCGATCAGCCTTTTTGTTTACCAAGGTACTGGAACGGGTGTCCGTGTTTCTGGGCTAGGTGAGCCTTGTTGATGCCGTCTCTCAATTCCAGCCGCTGAAGTGTCGCAAATGTTCTTGACTCTTCCGTGGACAGTGGGCTGACCGTTCACGGGCAGTGCTGTTGGGGACCGCAGGGGCACAGTGCCGGGCGACAGTAAACAGCTTGTGGAAAGCTGATGGATGAGTCTGTGAGCTCCATAATAACATCCGTAACAGTATTGTACGTAGCCTCCAGTGCCCACATCATGTGGTACTAGGGCTGTGGCATCCTGGTGCGTCACTCGAAGGGAGACTCAGCGTCCCTGCAAAATCTTCTGTGAAAGAACAGAGAAGTTGCAAGTCCTGGACTCGTGGTTGTCCTCAGCTGAGGCCACTTCCCGGGGCCTGCCCCATGCTGGGAGCACCTGTGGGGTCGCGGGTGATGGGTGCATCCACTCCTTCTGCGGGGAAGGAGGGTGAGGAGACCAGAGCTCTGCTTTACTGCAGAACCCGGCTGCGAGAAACAAGCAGGTCGGAGGAACCAGCGCATTTGTGGTGGCCCCCCCGGGAGTTTATCCCCCCTGAAAACGCCACCCACGTGTTAGTTTGATGTGCCCACTGGAGGACAAAAGATGAAGCAGGCGCAAAAAATGTCCTTGTAATGAAATGCCCCTCCCGGACCCCTGCAGGGTTGTGTTGGAATCTTGTGAAAACACCTGCATGACCAGCAGGGGAGGAGGAGGTGGCCCCATCACTCACTGCTTAGCTTCCCAGCCCTGTCCTCCCCTTAGATCTCCTCCCTGCCACGTTGGTGTGGCTATTTTGGGAGCCTGGGTGGTTTTCCTGAGGTGTGTGTTTCAGGTGGGAGAGGATAAAGGGCAATGCAAGCTAGGAGGAGACTTAGGAACGGCTGGCTCATCAAGCGTCTCATTCCTTTCTAAGGACGACTCGAGTGGCACGCATGCTTGTCCCCAGTGGATGCGGGTGGCAGGGCCCTGAAAGGGGACTTGTGGAGAGTGCTCGCTTATTCAGCATTTTATTGTGGTTAATGTATCAGAACCAGCTTCTGATGACATTTTAGCTTGGCATTTCAGAGAGCACCTGCCGCAATGCACAAAAGATGTGAGTTACACGGCTTCTGTGATGCCGTTCGTAATGCCCTTTAGACCCAGGAGGCCCGATTTGGCCCCTTTTTTTACTTCTAAATTTTGTTACAAACACTGTAGCCCATTCCTTTTCGGGAATGGGGTAGGCATTTTGTTTGCTGTGTGTTAGCTCCTATGTGGTTTAAGCATCAGAGGGTATTGCGGATGGGCATTTAATGGGTGCAGGTGGATGCCCAGGGTGCTTGGTGTTGGGGTCCTCGGCAGACAGGCTGTGCTCATGGCTTTAGAGTTTCTGCCTGGAAAAGCTGAGTGAGGAAGTAAAAAAGTTTTTTTTTTTTTTCCTCTCAGTTTTAATCTAATCAGATAGTCATTGATGTCTCCTTGGTGCCAGTTACAAGGTGTCTTGTTTACTCAAGAATAAAGTAGCGCTGTTTTTAAAACTGCTTTTATGGAGAACTAGGTTAGGTGACCCGAGCCTTGGGGGAGAAATAGATTTTTCTTGGAATGAATAATGAATTTTACAACATATTACCCATTAAGATTTCAGTCTCTGGGCCACTGAACGTGGCAGTATTGAGACATGCCACGTAGCACCTGTCTGAGCCGGGCCCGCGGAGCAGGCACCTGGCGGGCGGAACCCACACCAGGGCCAGCCACACGGGTCGGGGCGACCGTGTCCACGTGAAGGACAGACAGAGGCATGCTTCCTGTGTGTGCTCAGTCAAGATAGATTGTAACTGTCGTGACTCAGTTGGGATTTGGCACATGGCACCGGGCATTTTGTTCTTTCCAGTTCTCTGTGGTGCACACTGAGAGAAGCACAGTGGTACAAGGGAACGGAGTCTGTTTTCTACCGTTTAGAAAATCGGTTTGGAAAGTGAACAGAAGAAAATGGATCTGCACGTTGCAAATATCTCCCGTTTTTCTCATCGGTTAGGCAGGTGGTGCAGGGACGGTCCGGCCGGCCGCAGCGGCTCAGCGAGGCTCATGGTACTCAGAGCCGACTGCCATGGAAGGGCCCTGCACAACTGGTTTTGCAGTTGCTTTTATAGACAAAACTCGGCTTTTAAAGTATTTTAGGAGTTTGGCTTAGAGCTCCCTCTTTCCTCCTGACATAACCTCTTTTTTTTTTTTTAATTTTTTAAATTCTCTTCAGCTCCATTTTCTGCCATCACCAGGAATGCAATGTAACATACACCACCTGTTACTGATTTGGGCATTTGTCAGACTAAATTACTAGTTGTTTTGAATGCATTGGCCCTCTTAATTATTGGAAAGGAGAAAGGAGAAGTAATCTTCCCTCCTCACTAATTTAGCTTTGGGGGAACTAAATGGCTTTTCCTCTTCCTCCCAAAGGCCCTTTAAGCAGTAGAATGTGCTAAATATTGGACTTGATTCCCTGTGCCGCAGGCTCATTTGCTGCCAAAGATCCACTCGGGGGCCCTTGTCCAGAATGCTGTGAGACTACATTTGCCCGGAGGCAGGGTTCCTTGATTACTAGGGTTCAACTACTAGGGAGCCTGTATTTTGCCCTCTTAAGACTAATTTCCTTTTATACCAATTCTCTTTCTCTCTCTCTTTTTTTTTTTTGCATTAGCATTTGGGAGCCTGGCCTCAAATTTAGCTAACCTTTAACACCCTTGTGGGTTAAGGCGAGGCAAGGGAGAGAAGTTTCTCTCTTGCAGGGTTCCGCTGGTGTTGCCTGTAAAAGGGCCAGCGAGGAAGCACTTGGAGCTTTGCGGGCCATTTTCTGTTGCTAGGGCTCTGGGAACGGGCATGCTGTGTTCCATCACAACCTGATTTCCAAAAACAGCTGCAGGCTAGATTTGGCTCTCTGGCCATAGTTTGCCCACCCCTGCGCTAGTGGCTTGTGTTGGTGGCTACAGCACCAGGACCTTGCTGAAAGCACGCAGATGAACCAACTCAGAGCTGGGTGTGGCTGGGAGAGAGAAGTTCTGTAGGTGAGTGCGCCACACTCCCCTGCTCCCTGGGCATCCGTGCTTCTGTGGCCACTGTTTCTAGCACATGGCGTAACCGTTGTGTGTAATTGAACTTCCAGGCTCAGGCACTGGTTGGCCATCCCTCGCTGCACTGACTGGTGATTGTGCTCATAGAGCGGGATGGGCTTGGTTGCCCAGAACACCTTTCAGAACTGAAGGCCTTTTCCCCCCAACTGCTGGGTCAGCTGCTGGCTCCCCATCCTCAGCTGGTGGCCCTGTTTGAGAGCTTCCCCCACTGAAAGCCCTGCCTCAGACGAGGTCATGCCCGCTTCCTTGGAGCCTCCAACTCCAGCCCTGCTTCCTGCCCTTCTCGTTCCTTCTCTTCCGTTTGCAGGTGTTGTTCCCAAGAACACTCGCCCGAATTTGTCCCGCATGCAAACCTCACTCAGTGTCTGCTTCCCGGGGCAGCCAACCCGCTACAGCGCTTCTGTACTTGTTTTTTTTTTTTTTATTTAGCACCACAGGCTTGAACCCCAAGGAAACCGTGTTCCAAGTATTTAATAGAATGACAGAGTGTGCCTGTAGAATGGTCTCAGGTGCCATACGTGCGAACTAAGTAGACTTGCTATTTATTCTGGATGTGAATTTGCTATTTATTCTACATGTTGATTTTATGTGATAGGATTGAACTTCTTGCCAAATAAAAGTTTGAATTGTGTCGTCTAGCTCATTGTAAGTCGTCTGTTTTTGTGTGCCTTAGTGGCAAAACCGTATCAAATTCTACTGTACCCAAAAAAGAACACCCCGGTGAGAAGGGGAGGAAGATGTGTGGTTCATTTCTCACCCCTTTTGTCCCAGCACGGCACACTTGCTTGTTTGCAGAGCCGGAAGACTGTGCAGTGAAGGCGCGGATGGAAAGTGGGCACGAGCTCAGACTAGGTAGGCCCTAGATACCCGCCGGAACCGTTGTTCCCCCACAGGTGTTTCTTCTTTGACAGCCAGGAGAAGATACTGTCACCTACGTGTTTGCAATCAAATTGCCAGGAAAGCTAAAAATTGGAAGCTGTGTTTTAGGGGAAGAAAATACTGAATAATACGAAATTAAGAGGAAATGCAATGAAGTCAAATCACTACTGGGTTTTGGATAAATTTATAAATATTTTGAAAAGCTTATTTTTTAAAAACCGTGTATGTGTGTGCACGTGCATGCACGTGTATTTAGCCTCCTTAATGTCCTTGATGTCTCAGTGTGCCAGGACCTTTGTCTCATTCACTCCTTCCATGGATGGCCTGCTGGTCTTCCTTTCAATCGCTTGCCTTTTTGTCCCTGTGATGGTGGTACCGGAGGACTCACTGGGGAATTTGTCTCTCGTTCTTTATGGGTAGTGATCTCCCAGAAACATGGCTTTGCTTTCACCATGGCATGTTGTTCCAGAGGAGACGGTAAGCTGTTCCTGTGCCTGAAACTGGGACTTCTTTTCCTTTCCTGGAGTTGGGAAAAAGCTTACAAGACACTGGAGCCTCGAGAATGTCTCACCTGACTCAGCAAAAACCCTGAGGACGTGCAACAGTTATTGGGCCAAAAGGAGAGTCAGATGTCTGCTCAACCCAACCTTTTACTTCTCTGCCCCAGCAGTGATTCCCAGAGCTGGCCAGTCCTGCCCCTTAGGGACCATTTGGAAGTGTGTGGTGGGTGGGTTGGAGGGTGTTGGTTGTCATGGTGATGGAAGGGCACTTCTAGCCTTTTGAGGGCAGGGGCCTGGTGTGGTAGACATCCTGCACTGCTTGGGCGAGTCGTGCACAGTACAACACTGTCCCGAGTCCACGCATCACCACTGGAAAGTTCTAGAACCATTTTCATCACTCCCTGTCCCTGGCAATCACTAATCTATTTTCTGTGAATTTGCCTATTCTGGAAATTTCATAGAGATGGAGTCATACAGTATGTGGTCTTTTGCGTCTGCCTTCTTAGCATATGGCGTTTTCAGGCTCTCTCTGTGTTGTTGGCATGCATCATCAGTGCTTCGTTCCCTTGCAGGGCAGAATGCGATTTCACTGAAGGGATATGCCACCGTTTGGCTATCGAGTCAGAAGATGACGGACATTTGGGTTGTTTCTACTTTCTGGTTATTATGAATAATGTTCCCATGAGAACACATATATAAGTTATCACGTGGACATGTTTTCCATTTCTCCTGGCTTTATACTTAGGAGTGGGATTTCTGGATCACATGGTAACACTGTATTTAAGTTTTTGAGGAACTGTCAAACCTTTTCTATGTGGCTGCACCATTTTACTTTCCCCCCAGCAACGTGTGAGGGGTCAGATTTCTCCCCATCCTTGCCAACACTTGTTATTATCTGTCGTTGTGATTCTAGCTGCCCCAGTGAGCGTGAAGTGGGATCGCACTGTGGTTATCATGTCTTCTTAAACACAAACAAGCAAACGAAACAGAATTGAGAAAGAAGACTTTATAAGGCAGGTGTTAGCTAAATGAAAAGGCCCTATTTAGCCCCAGTAAGTGGATTTTACCTTCACACTTTGACCCTTCCTGTGGCAAACAGTATTTTTGTTTCCCCGAACACCAGATTTGTTCTGTTGACTTTAATTCTCTTCCATAAACATTTATTGAGCACATTGCATGTACCACATCCCGAGATACAAAGATGAATGAGGCAGGTCCCTGCCTTTGGATGCTTACAATCTAACAGGGAAAGGAGATAAGGTCATAGTGTTGGGGAGAATGTACTTAAGTGCCGTCTAAAGGTACAAAGGAAGGACAGTGGAGGGGTAGTCCCCCGGGGTTGGTGGGTAGGT